GGTAAACAAGGAGGTTCCCACACCATGCCCTTGCCTTTCAGCGATATCTGCACAAGCCCGGCCTTGGTAAGTTCGGCATTAATAATCAGAAGCAGCAGATGCGCAAGGGGATGGCAGTTCTTCTCACCTGGCAGATTATTTCAGAGCAGCAAATGTCTAAATCGATTAAACTGGTGTTAAAACGAGAGGGACCGCGCTCCTCTCTCATCTCTCGGTCTCCAACAGGTCAGGCCAGCTCCTCTTTCCCCAGCATGGGGGGAAGTTTAGCTGCTGGAATAACCACCAGACGATGAGCCTCCCAAAAGTTTTCTGGATTATCTGGATTTCAGTTTATCTTTCGGCATTTCTTCGTGTCTTGAGAGCAAAACAAGGTGGTTTCTTGAAGGGTATGGTTCATCTTAGGAAAAACACCTCAACTCTGTTTTTATTTTTCAAATACTAAAATTATTTCCCATACGGAGAAGCTTGCAAGCATACGCTTACCTTACTGAATTCAATTAGTCCGATATATGCTTGTATAATAAGCAATTTAACTGCTTTGCTGGACGAGAACCAAAGCTAGGAACTGTTCCCTGCAGAGAGCCAGGATTATTTCTGGCTGGCTTTCTGTCTCCCTACAGATCCCAGTCAATTCGTTTGCCTCCTCAGTTTGGATCCATTTTAAAACTACTATTGTGCTTATTAAAAAGAAAAAAGAAAAAAAGAGTCGTAGAGTCCTCTGGTCTTTTCCCAGAAATATTTAGCTGTTACTGAAGTAAATTCTCCTGCGTTTAAAGTGGAGATTAACAAAAAGCTGCAGGATCTCAGATTGTGCTCCTTAAAATGTTCGTTCAGAGCGCTATGAATATATTCAAAAACTGTCCTTTTCAGATCTTTACTCAAGCTGAGGAAATTAATATTTGCAAAAAAACCCCCAACCCAACAACAAACTGCACATAATGCAATCCCATTAGTGCTCTTGGGTTGTGATTTTTTTCAACGTATCTGCAAACTTACTGAAGCTATTCATTTACTGGCTGCTAAGCTTTCAGTAAATGAAAAAACATGTAAATAAAACAGCTAACTAGAAATGCCGCAAAAAAACCCAGCGTTCAACTTTGAAGCAAGGCCATAAGCGAGGTGGAAACCAGCTTTCTGCACTCAGAGCCTCCACAAGCTTTAATTCTGCCGGATTAGAACTTCTGTGTTATTTCTGTTTCTGGGTGTTCTCCCCAGATTTCACAGCTCGCTCACAGTTAGCCTGCCCGTGTTATTTCTGTGCCTTAGCTCTAAGGATTCCTCCTTTAGGTTTGGTATTTATTTGCCTCCAGGCTCTGCCCGTGATGTTTTCTACACCTAAAGAGAAAGAGACTGAGAAACTCCGGCTCTGACTGTAACCACAAGTTCCTTAAAACTAACCTATGAGTCCAAGGGGTGTATAGATACACACATATACGTCTGTATATAAATATGGCTATATAAGAGGCAAAGCATTATGTAAGTTTTCCTTGGAACACATGACAGTAAGAAATTGTACTGTGAAACAGACCCAGTCGTGTTGCCCAGCCTCCCGGGATTCCCCGCTTGCCTACCTGTGCATTTTCAATGTATTTTTTCCCCCAATTCAAAAAGCCAGCCACGTGGAAAAGACGGATTATCCCCCACGCCGTCTCACATCTCCTGGGCCAAGACCTTGTGGGGTGCAGGTGACTCGACCTCCAGCCTGCTTGAAGGCACCTTTACCTCACCATGGAAATTCTGACCCAAGAACAGCAGGTTTGGTTCTCCTCACATCCTTTTTCTCAGCTCTGTAAAAACTCCATCATCTTCCAAGCTGTTGCAACTGCGACAAAACGTTTCCTATGCGGTTTGCTCTCGGCATACAGGTGTGTTAGAGGCGTGCGGTCAAGGGTGGCATCGATTAGAAGATTTTCTCAGCAATTCCAGGACACAGAGGGGTAAGCAACGAAATAACAGCAAAACAGAGTTTTACTGTTGGCAGTAAAAGCCAGCAGCTTGATTCTCTGCAGACCCACACGTGCAATCGTGCTATTAAAATGAATTAACTGCTCTGAATGAGCATCCGGAAAAAATACAGCTTGTTTTCTAACAGCAGCCTGCTGCAATTTAAAAGGGGGCACAGGCTCTCAGCAGCTGGTCTGTGACCCTCGGCACTCCCCCCGAGCTGTCGTGGGGCTAACCCCGCTCTCCTTTCCTTCCCCCAGTGCTCTGCTGAGGCGCGTCTGCTCGTCCTGCGACGCAGATCCCAGGGCAACTCAGATAAAACCGCGTAGCCAGTTCTCACAAATCCATGGAAACAAGCACAAAGAGTCAGGGAGAAAAAAAAAAATGCAAACAAAAACAAATCACAGGATGGTGTAAAAATCCACCCTGCTCAGGAACCAGCAGGGCCAGGCTCTTCGCAGCTTAATTTGAACTTAATTCGAACCCTTTTAGTTTGGATCGAGCCCTCCTGAAAATGGACGAGCTGTATTTTTAGGCTGGAACCTGGGGACGATTCACTCGATGTCTGCACTGACCTGGAAGGAAGGACCAAAGCCGGAAGGCGTGAGGACATTTGGGGCATTTCTCAAGCTGGAAGCTGCCGTTCTGCCGATGCTCAAGGGTTCCCGAAGCACAGAGCAGGCTGCAGAAAGCAGACACGGGCACCAGGAGAGACTGACCCCACTCATCCCCTGCTCATACCCAACGTGCAAAGAACAAGACAAGGGCAATTTTCAAGAGACAGCTTAACAAAACAAACCGTCCTCCATCTGAACATCCTGAGCCCACCCAGAAAAAAGATATCGTTTTCAAATGAAAAGCCATTTTCAAAAAGAATTCTTGACAAAGATTGGGATCAGCTGCGGTTTTCCAGCTCAGTCAGATCCTGAGAACTAAATTCTGTTCTCGTTTACATCAGAGCAAAGCTTAAAGCCTAATGAAATATTTGATGTTCCTCCTGATGCAAATGAGAGCAGAATTTGGTCCGAAATATCCTGTTTTCCCTACTGACTTGATTACAGGGCGAGCATTAGGCAGGAGTTCAGGCTCCTTTTGAAGTTATTTTATGGCGAGGAGATAGAGTGGCAGAGATCTAGTCTGACGAGTCTAATCTGTCCTAAATATGCACACGGGAGCCTGATGAAAGAACCGCAGAGAAGCTCTGGCAGCCCTGCAATGCACAGTTATAGAAGCCACACAAATATTATTGAGCTTACAGGAATTTAAATTGGAAGTATACTGCTCGGAATCTAACCCTGGGTACTTTACATGTCAGCAACTCGAAGATTTTTAATGTACCAGCTGAATGAGTTATAAGTACGAAAACTCAGAACCATTACTGAAAACTCGCCCCGGGAGAAAACTGGAAAACAACATCACGGAGCAAAATAATAAGCAGTGTAATTGGATAAAGAGATAACAACTAAATGCAGAACTGAGAAAGGTAAAATCCCCTCCTCGCACGCTCATCCGACAGTTCCACTACAGCAAACGGCTTGATCAAACGCAAATAGGAAAGGAATAAATAAATAATGGCAGACAAATTGGATGTGTTACCGAGGAATTTTTGACTGTCAGTAGGAGAAAAGAGAGACGATAGAGCACTGGGGAGAAAACAAAGGAGCAAAAACTCGACTAAAGATGCCAGGAAGGTAAAAAAGCAAATGGGACTTGACCCAACCTCCCCTGCGACGGGCAAAGGGTCTGGTATGAGCCTTCCAGACTGCCCTGACCAGTGGTGTTTCGGCGGTAGCCACTTGCTGAACCTCCCAGCAATCCCTCACACTGTCCTCCCTAATGAGTCATATTTCTTCTATAACCGAGTAAAAACGAGCCAGAAGAATTCAAGTCTGGAAAAACAACACTGTGCTTCGCTTGTTGACAGCGCTTCTCCTATTTAAAGCGCTTCTCTCAGATTACCCAACTGTTCTTCGTAACAACTTCATCTGCATTTGCTTCCGCGATTCCTTCATTTCGCCAAGGTGCAAATAAAGACCCCGATACCAGCAGCTGTCTCTCCGTACACAGCACGGCTCACGTCTAGGACAGGTCTGGTCTTGCCAAGCTGAGGTTTCTACAACAGGCCCACACTGGAGATTATTCAGACCTTTTGCTCTGGCTCTCTGTAATGACGAGCACCTCAGAAATGCAGTTATTTGTCTATGACATGCAAATATTTACACTGGATGTAAGTCAGAGATCGGCATCTCTCCGCCAGAAATAATTCCCAAAGCACGAAAAGTAAAAAAGGAAAGTAATTAACAACTTGGCTTGCTGATCACCTGCATGAACCCACGTACAGCAACAGCACCATGAAGGAAAAACACGCTACATGTTTATATACAGTCCAGCTGGGACTCATCAAGTCTTGAGCTGGTACGTCTTGATTCATTTTTTCTTGGCTAATAAATCCACATATAATATAACCAATATTCAAAATAAACTAGAAGAGCAGCTTTCTAGGATTTGATTCTCACACTGGTGCTTCTGAACCTTCATGCGATGTTCTCAAATCCCATTAACCAACATGTCCAAACGTGATATACATACACCCAGGATTTCGTGATTTCTTCACAAATAAAATTTCTACTGGTAGTCAAACTGGGAATTTTGCTTTTCAAGGTAAATGGCTCGGAAAACGGGAGATCTAATACACCATTCCTGGTTGTCCCACCTAAGAACATACAACAAAAGTGTTTAGAGACAGAAGAATTGAAGTAAAGTTCTCGTGATCTCCACCAGTCTCCCACATCAGGGAAACAGCCTGACTGACCCAAAAAGTAACGGCAGCAATTCACAGTCTGGATTCATCTTGTTGGGATTATCACTCTCTTACTCAGAAGCGTGCAAAACGATGGCATCAACACTGCTGGCCCTTTGCAGCTCAACACAGCTTATGGAATACCCACAGCTCATGGAAATCGAGGAAATTTAGCTGGATTAGAAAGCTCCGGCCAACAACACGTTAAAGAATCATTGACACGCACATCGAATTCTAACAGCGCGGAGTAACGTACCTCCTTAAAGTTATCGAACGCAGATAAAATGATCTCATGCCCTCCTCTGACGAGGCAAACGGCTGCTAAAAGCTCTAAGACAAGTGCCTTTGTCCTGCAAAGAGAAGAAACCAAAGCAGTCAGTGGCCACTGCGTGATGAAGCACCTTTCTCCCACTTGCAAAACAGGTGTGGAGACACCGGGAGATGTCATTTGCACCCCGTGTATTTGAAAAGCCTCGAAAACTGAGCAAACCTGCACGATGCATAACGCTGAGCATCGCTTGATCCAGGGCGCTTCAACTCTGCCGGGATCATGCAGTTCTTCCCCCCGCACACACCCCGCATTTGAACGCTTCTCAAACCATGCAAAGATGTAAAAATCACCAACGACACTTGCGGAAATCCAAGCCAACCAAAGGCAGTTGCGTAACTGAGCGCGTCAGCCTTTGACAGCTTGCACTCCCGCAAGAAATCTCCCGCACAGAGATGGAGAGGAGGCAGTTTTACACAAGCCAGGATCACCGCACACCAGTCATCAGGCAGCTGTCTCCACCGCAACATATTTCCTCCAGTTCGTAATGAATGGATTTATAATTCAAATCTGGTTTTTTTTCCCCGATACAAATCTGAATTATTTTTCCGCAATAATCTGTATTATTCACAGCCACAAGAAAAAAAAAAAAAACAATATGGGGTTTGCTGAAGTAAATATAGGATGCCTTAGCACATCTTTCGTATCTTGAATCAGAAATCTGGGTGACTGATTGACAGCAGTGCTGACACGAGCATATTAATGAGAGAAGACAATAGATTACTGAAAGAAAAGCATGCAACACACTCGCTGGAACTCCACTATAAGTAATCCCCCGTACTTTCTTATAGGGTTCACATAAGGCAAAAGCACCAACCAGACTTTATGGCTAGATGAGCCCTGAGCAGATATTAAAATCATGCAGACACATATGAAATTAGTCTCATGCCAAAGCATTGACTCAAACCAGATGCTATGGAAAAAGAAATACCTTTTTTGGCTTTCAAAGTGTCAAGGCTATCTTTGGAAAGCAGATAAAATGTTCACTTTCCTAGGAAATTTTAATTTTAAACGTGTCATTTTCAATTCGCGCTCATCAATTTATTTATTTATTTATTTCCTGCCACAAGACGAAAATTTGAGCTTCCAGGATCCATCACGATGGCGGTAAAGCAAATTAGGTTTTGAACAGCACCTTAAGTTTTGTCTTCAGATTATTTTAGTCATTTTTGAACACCTCGGGGGTTTTTTTAAGGAGAAATCTAAATTTCCCACTTCCTTCACAAATGAAAACTTATACTGTCTCTTCATCATCTGATTTCCAGGCACAGGGCACCAAAAACAACACAGACAATAATCTTTCTCTATTCTTCCCATTTATCCTGTGCTGACTTGGGGCTAAATAAAAGAAAAGAAGGAAGTACCTCCTTACAGCAAGCGGCGAGCCTAAGCAAAGGCTGCACGTACACAGTGCCGCTGAGTTTTGTCCCACCCCCTGGCTTTACCTTTCCTTGCAAACACCAGCAGGTGAGCTTTGGTTTCATTAGACATGCAAGAGTCCGCAGCTCCAGGTTTAGCTGGAAGGGTCACCCGTGTGTGCGGGGAGAGGAGGGGACACAGCCTCTGGCTGAGCAGCAAACCCAGCATAGAACCAGAACAAAACCCTCTCTCTCAAAGAAATTCAAACCTAAGGACCCCTCAGACAAAATCTCGTTAAGGAGATTTTTCCTGCCCTTCAGGAAAATCCCACAGCTAAGCTGCCCCTTACTAGCGGGGTCTTCTTTGCGTTGCAACAGAGCCGGAGTGCTTAAGCAGCAGAAGAGTCGGTAGCTCCTGAAACCCAATTGTTCCTCTATTTGCACCATTATGCAGATTTAATCTGAGTCACAATGAAGTCTGAAATTTGCGCATAACCATACCCCTCAGAATCCCTTCCCGTGTACTCTCTACTTACCTACGCCTTAATCTTTCTAAAATTAAGCGCAGCCTACCTGGGATTCTTGTTGTTCAAACTTAGTGCAATTTCGTTAACGGCGTGCGGATGCGACATGACCATATTGAATCCGTACTGAAAAGAGGAGAGAAGAAACAGTTTTGAGACTGAAACTATTCTTTTTACAATCCAACAAACTACATATCCCTGACCAGATCTGGCAGCGCTCTTTGACAGTATTGGAAGCCAAACAAAACGTTGTCGAGTTTACCAAGTCAGTCAGAACATTCTTGGCTACCACCGTGTCTGACAACTTCTCTGCAATTAACTGCAAGAGGGATGACATGTTGGAAATCCCAGGGAGCTGGTATCCCCATGGGGCAGAGCTCACACACATTAGAAATACCTCGTGCGACCATACAACTCATAATAAAGCCGTCCCAGACCTTTTTTTTTGAAGCACATAACTTTTAGCTGCTAGGTGTTTTAGCAAAAAAATACCAAGTCTCTGAAGCTAGCTGGGCATGCTGTGTGATCGCAGCATCCCACTGAACACAAAAGAAACTCAAGAAAATGAGATTAACTTTGGTCCTCTGCAGCAGCTTTACAGTCACTAACCTTTTCCTCCCCGCTCCCGACAATGAAATAGTTACGCGGTCCGAAACAATGAAAAAAAAAGGGAAATACCTGGTAATTCATTATGGCCCGTAAACACATGATGCAGACGTGAACATCGTCTTTTTTACTCACTAATCTGGAATTTTTTAGCGTTCTTCGGCTTGGCAAGGTGTTATACCTGCGAAGGAAAACCAACTCTCATCAGTCACAAGATGAAGAATAAAGGAACGGAAATATTCCTCCACCGGGTGAAAACGCAGATATCTTGACATCTCTCAGTTCTGCAGAGGATGTGGCCATCAGACAAGACACAAGCAAATAAAGCAGAAAAAAGGTGACAGGCTGGTGCCTCTTGGCCACCACAAGCCCAAGCTGCCGGGCTCAGCCCTTCCCACCAGCACAGCACGACCTGGCCAAAGCCATTTCTCATGGAAAGAACAATCCACCTGCACGCAGAGGTACTCCAAGTGTTCCCTTCCCCCCATGCACTTTGTACAAGCAAGAGCACAGACTTCTAACGGAACTGAATGTTTGCAGACAGCAGCAAATGTCTTAATTCCCGCTGCGTTTCACTTCAGAATGGTGCCTCTCTTCCATTCAGCAGCTGAGCTTGCTGAAAGCCCTCAAAACTGAGGAAAAGACAACCCTTAGGAACTTCCCTCTGAACAGAGGCATTAATTATTTTAATTGTAACCCCTGACTGGTAAATCAACCTTGAGTTCAATTAAATAAGTACACGGGATGAACAAAAAAGGAAATCTTGAAATTTGTCATTTCTATAAGACAGTAAATGAAAACCATGTTTCAGCTCTTCCTGAGACACTGCTTATTTTCTGTAAGTAAAAGACATGCTTCACGAGCCGAGTGCAGGAAACTGGAGACAAGGAGATGGACTGCCGGAAGAAATATATGCGTGTTCTTCCATACGCAAAACAGAACAAGCAACGAGAAGATGATTATGATGGTCAAGAACCACTTTTGCTAGCGATGCACTAACTGCTGTGATCGACCCCGGCACCAGCACGCGGCAGGACGAGCCCCATCCAAACTGCGGGGAGTCTGCAGGGCGGTGAAGGGTGGTGTTTGGAAAAACAAGTTGTTTATCCTGCCCCTCCCAATTTACAGAGTAAAAAACAGCCCGGAGAGAAGGTCCCGGTAGGTTCTCCGTTAGGACCTGCTCCTGATTTACACCTACAGAGGTGAGGCCAGAAGGGCTTGCCAGCTACCAAAACCTCTAGGCAGGCACAGTGATAATCCTTTTGCAATTCCAACTACAATAGGTGGGCCTGAAAATGAAGGGAAGAAGTATAAAAATCTGCTGATGGGAAGACAGAAAAAAAAAATAACACGATGCACATGCAATGATGTGCAAATTCTGACATTTGTTCTGCAAAGAGCAACTCCACTGGGAGAAGAAAGAGAAATTCATAAATGAAGCTTGACTGGGGGAGTAAATACAACCTCCAGCAAAAACAAGGCTTCTTCAGACAACTGCAGGTGGCCTCACCTTTGCCAACGCCACCTTTGCAGCCTGAGAACATACAAGGGAAGGCTTTTCTTCTCCTTGATTCAGGAGAACAATCGCAGTGGGGTAAGATTCTGGGTTACAGCATCCTCAGCTCTCACCACAGTCGCCAACCAGAGTTAAATGAATCAGTGCTCGGAGCTCAACCGCCAACAGGCAGGGTGAGAAGGTGAGGTGGGGAAGGGGACAGCTTCCAGGGGACATGCAGACCCCAGCTTTGTCATCCGAGTGTCTCCTGAAACTCCAAGAAAGTGTGAGTGGCACGGAGGGAGGCAACGAGGAACGATCTGCCGTTACTCCTTGTAACACAGCATCACATATAATTATCAGGCGACAGAATCGAAGCAAACACAGAAGTTTTCAAGACGTTCCTTCACATGGTGCTCCAGAGAGCGGGAGCTCTTCCGCACAAGATCCTGGCGAGAGCTCCAAAAGCACTTTCACCAATCCACAAAAGGAAAAGAAAAAGAAAAAAAAAACCAAAAAAACCCTCCAACCAACCGTCAAGATGAACTAAACACGAGATGCAATCAGGATGCTTAAATCTGCAGACGGCTGAGACCGTCTTCCAGAAGAAACATCGCTGGGTATCCGCCCCGCTCGCGGTAAGCAAGTGCTCTCAGCATCGCCTGCGTTGAGCATCCACCCCCAGGCAGCATCAGATATGGGTCTGGTGTTCTTGCATCTCACCCTTTTCCTCTTTCTTTCCTCTGCATATTTTTGAGTGCCTTTGGAGGGCTGCCTCATTGCTGCCGTGCAGTTACTTGTCTAATCCACGCTGCTTGTTTTGTTTAAAAAGAAAAGAGGTGTAGCTTTTAAAAATGGTAATTAACACTATTAATAATGATAATAATAGTAAAAAATAATAATAAGTACACGAACAAGTAATAACAGACTTGTTTTGCTCTGACTCACTAGTTCACTCTCTGATACGAAGAACGTGCTCCAAAATTTTCTCACTTTAGATGTACAAAACTAATGAGATGCTGGTCTAGGGGTCCCGTGTGCAGGGCAGTTCTCCCAGCTCAGCAGCACCCCCAGCTCAGCAGCACCCTCACTGTGTTTGTGGGAGCTCCAGCATGGGACAAGCTCCAGAGCGCAGTGCTAAACCCGCCTGCCCACGGAGAGCCAGCAACTCTCAGGCTTCAGCAATTAACTTCCCTTTGCTTTCATTTTCCAGGAGTGCCGACATGAAAGAAACCCCAAAAATTCAAAGCAGAATCCAAACTGCCCTTTTTTTTTTTTCCCCCTCAAATATAAGAATGCATAAATCAGCTCAGGGCACTCCAGTCGGATTTCAGGTTTGCGGGAAACGTGACCTAGTTTTTCGCCCGAGAAGAGTGAGTGGTTTAAACATGGGAGCTGCATTTAAACATGGGACTGCACCTCGACAAGGTCTGAGGTGCAACCTTTAACTGGGAGCCCTACAGTGGGAATCTGAACTGGGAAGTGTGCAAGTGCTACTGGTGTTGGCTGGAGAAAGTTTAACCACAGCACACTGGTGTATTCCCATACATTCACTCACTAAATATGAAAAACACTGCAATAAAATGATTTAGCAGTCATTTCTGGTCACATAGAGATCCCTCCTACAATGACTTATCTCATTTTTATACTACCGAAGGCTGCATACATTATTCTCCTTCAAATTTTAAATAAGCAGAGTAATTAGATTTTTATCATGCTACTGACAGAAGGAAGAAAAGTCTTTCTCAGCACCTGGTGTATCAACTCCTTACACTTCAGAATGCCTTCAAACATCTCAAGAGTTTTGCCAGCTGTAACGAGCAGGAGCAGGTCTCCTTAAACTAATAAAGATGACCGTAACGCTGGAATTTAGCATTTCTAGCGGCTCGGGGAGCGAGGAGGAACAGAATCAGGCAGCAAGGGCATTGCGACGTGGCACACCCCGAGTCGGCGGGGTGTCACTGCGGGATATCAGCAGTCAGAGCCCACACCCTCCAGCAGCTCGCAGAGCTTCCACCCGTGGCTGGTTTACGATCAGGCTCTGAAACGGGCGCAGAATATGCAATCGGGAGCTGCAGTGCAGAGAAAATTATCTCCAGCACAGATGGGATTCTGCCCTAGATTTAGATCGCTTCCCTTCCACAGATGCAAATTTCTTCACACAGAGGCAAATGCCAAGAATTAATGAGGATTTTTTTTGTACAGAAACTCTTTTACGAAGACTCTGCACACTGGAACTACGGCTCGAGATGCTTTCTCTTTATTAGCAGCAATTCCAACGACCCCTGATGATATTTGTTTCCTTCCTAAAGGTAAGGCAGACTGGCAGTAGCTCCAGCACCTCCCTTCACAGGACATGAGCCAGGCCGGGCTGGATGATCTTCTTTTGCTTTTATTTCATTTCTCGTTACTCAACATCAGGCTGATCCGAGCATCTGGACGAATCGTTGGGTTTGATTTCCTGTCTGCTGCAGGTCAAAGATTATGTCACCAAGAGTATATTTATCCTTGTAATTGAATTCAGATGGTTCCTCTTTTTATTTCCTCTGCCACTCCTTTAAAGAAGAACTATAAAACCTTACTTCTGGAAAAAGCAGAAAGAGAAAATCTGACCGTGTGCGAGCTCCTGCAGCGTGCAATGCTTTCCTGCTGCCAGCGACAGGGGTGGGATGTCACACGTGGGGCGGGATGTCACACATGGGGTGTCACATTTGAGTGGGATGTCACATGTCACACGTGGGGCAGGAGCTCCTCCACAGCTTTGTGCCTTTGCTGCTGGAGCCTGGGTGCAAGCTGGTGGGATGAAGGACAGGGCACCCAGGTGGGAACTGCTAAAACCCAGGCTAGACCCGTGCTGAAATACACAGTCTGCGTAAAGTTCCTTTTCGCACCTAGATGTAACACATGTACATTTCTGTTGATGTCACATGTCACACGTGGGGCAGGAGCTCCTCCACAGCTTTGTGCCTTTGCTGCTGGAGCCTGGGTGCAAGCTGGTGGGATGAAGGACAGGGCACCCAGGTGGGAACTGCTAAAACCCAGGCTAGACCCGTGCTGAAATACACAGTCTGCGTAAAGTTCCTTTTCGCACCTAGATGTAACACATGTACATTTCTGTTCGTTCATCATTTTGATTCAATTTGTTAACAGTTTAGTTAATCTGGTCCTTGTAAAGGCTCTGTCACCACGAGACCAGCCTGCGCTTTTACCCACCAGCCTCCTACAGGAGGCCTGAAGAAACTGATTTTGCTAAACTGCTCCGGCCTCCACGCCCACGTCACTTCCTTAACATCATCAGCCAGAACTGCCGCGTCCTGGACTCATCCAGCTCTTTGTACAATCGATACCTAGAAAACACAACATGTGAGGGTGTCTCCTGATGCCAAACAGCTTACACAGAGGGTGAAAACTCACTATGGGTAATAAAGCATCTACACAACAAATTGGGATACTCAAAGTAACTAAAAGCCCTTTCCACCGTGGTACGCGAGCAGAAATGCCAGGACAAACTCTCGCCATCTCCATCAACTCCAACTGGAGAACTTTCATGCTTAAAACAAGGGCGTGTGCCCAGTCCAACAGTGTAGACTTCAAATGCACCGTGTTAATAACAAACTACTAATGGCTTCTCCCAGCATTTTTACCTTATACTCTGCTCAAGAATGCCATGCCCTCATTTGTCTACGCTGGCTGCCTCCGAGCAGGAGTAAGGAGAATAGAGGACAGTCCAGGGTGGACATCTCCACCCTCCCTGGCAGCTCCCCCAGCTCTTTGTGGGATGGGGCTCCTGGTTTTCACTGAGGTTTCGTGGTTTTCGGACTGCATTTCTGCAGTTTTCTTGCTGGTGGTGTTTGTATTATCAACGCCCTTCTGAGAAACGGACTTTGGAAGAGGAAAGCCTTGGCGTTTCCTACTAACTTCAGATCTCTTAGAGCGAGTTGCAGCCTGGGTGTGCTGGATGTGAGGACCCCGAACTTGCACCCTTCTGCAGGGGATGAGGCCCAGAGAGGGAAAGACCACAAGCACATGCCCAGTGGTGCCCACCATAAGTGTAAAAACCAGCAGCTCCTCTGCTTGTACGGCACAGGTCACTGCGCTGCCCAGAAACATCCCCTTTCTGTCATTTCCAACCGTAATGCCAAAGCTGGTTTGTGCCAAAATGACTCTGAGCCAGCTGGTTTTGCCTTCATCTGTCAGAACCCGGGAAAATTATTAATCCATAAAGCTAAGGAGATGTTGGCTGCTTAACAAAAGGCGAGAAAAGAAATCGCAACAGCGGGGTTTGGTCTGCCTCCTCCCAGGCCACGGAGCTAGTGTGTGACCTCAGGAGTAAATGCTCACTCAGGTGACGCTCGGCTTTGCCAACCCCTGGCACGTCCCGCCTCATCTCCAGCAAGGGAATGAGCCTCAGTTGATTCAGACACTCCTGCCTGGCTACCGTGCGTCTGACATCAGTGAAAATCATGGTTTTCATCCAGGAGAGAAAGCAGAAGAATCGCAAGATCGCTCAAAATTACGCTCTGTTAGATCAGCAAGCACCTGACAAAAATGACAGTCAGCTGGTCCCTGAGCAGAGAAAGCGTTCGTGGCAAAGGCCAAATTAAATAATTTTAGCATATAGCGCAGCATCAAACTTGAGTCTAATGGTCGAATGTATTCAAATCAATTTATGGATCAAGACAGGTTTGCCTATCATGCTCCCATTATGGGCTCCACAGAGTTTGCAGAAAGAAATGAAGTTCCTCAGTTCAGTCCACATGAAAACAGATTTGACTCAGAAAAAAGGGAATTTCTAATGGGCTGGGACATTGCAAACTCTGCATTAATATTTATCTGACAGGAGACTCTCATATGAAAGCAATGCTCTTTCTCCCCCCTCAAAAAGCAGCAATAAAATCCCCAATGGTTCATCCTCGTTTTTATCCTTCTGCCCTCATTTTGTGTTTGCTTCCCAAATCCCCGTGCCTCCTCTTAAAAAAAACCAAAAAAAACCCCAGTTGCCAAGGAAACCCAGTGAGCAGGGAACTGGCAGGGTTTAGCACTACTAAAAAGAGCTCTGGGAAGGCCGTTAAAAAGTCACAATTCGAAATGGAGAGCCTCAGCCACGCAAACCAATGGGCAAAAAAGCCCTGAGGTTGTGTCACTGCTGGGCAAGCTCACGCCGCAGTGCGCTGGCCCTGCCATGGCACCAGACCCACATCGTTTGGCCAAATCTGTTCTCGCTTTGCGTTCTGCTATGGCGCTGCAGGAATAAGGCTAGCTCCTGAATGTTAAATTACCATGTTAAGAGTGTCAGCCTTCTCCTTTTTCAGCCACGAGGGAAAAGCGTTTCTTCCTTTCTCTCCATTCGAATGGGTTTTGTAACAGAGACCAAAAAGGAGCTTCCACACAGAAGAACCTACGGCCGGGCTCTCCGTGTGTCCCAGACACATTGTCTTCCCAGAGACGGGGCAGAAATCTCTTGGTTTGGACCAGAAACACCATCCTCCACACCCTCGTTTGACGAGCACCTCGTTTGTTCTCAGGAACAGATTCTGTTTCAGCTAACCAATATCTACTGATTATATAAAAATACCCTTCTTAAAAGTTTCCCACCTACTTAGAGTTTTCACTTTTTTTAATATCCATAGTCCCCAGCGACTGCAAAGATGCATATTTTAAAAGACTTTTTTTTTTATGAAACACAAACCAGAGATGCTCACTCCACATAAATGTTGGACAGTTTCTGCCCAAGCTACCCCCAATACAAGAATGGCTCAGCAGGGGCAGGAGAGGGCACCTGGCTGAAATGCTCCGTGCTAGGTTACATTCCTGTGCCGGCTTCAGATACGAGCAAAGCCTCTATTTGTAATAAAAAAGATGAAATAACACGGACAATGACTAATGGCTCTAAGCCTCAGGTATGAAACTAGTAACGCTACTCGTGAAACGATAAAGCTTGATCTTGCTTTGAGGTAAAACCCATTTTCTTTTTGAAAACCCCACTCTACGGAAGCAAACTACACTCAGAAGTTATAATGCGATAACCACGCGTCTCGGAGACCCAAAACTCAGGGGGTTGCTTTACCGAGACGTGTGATTACCCGATTATAAGGCATGGGGGAGCGGTGCTGGCCCTGTAGCTCCCAGGCCCTGCCCGGGCTGAGGGAACCTTGCACTTGGGACTTACGAGGTTTTTTTCCGTCTCGAAGCCTCATCAGCAGAGCGCCAAGTGAAGCCGCTCCAGAGGCAGCTGGCTGAAAAGCAGCTCTGGCAGCGTTTGAACCGAAGATGCTCGGGCAGAGAAACCCATCTGACGGTAACATGAGCGGCAGAGGAGTGGAGGATGAGACAGAGAGAGAGAAAGAGAATTGGAGGAGAGTGTTTGAAAGAGGGAGGGGAACGAAGGGCGCAAGGAAGGAGACGTCGAGATGGAAAATAAAAAAAAAAAGGTGCGGAATACAAGGAGGATGTGAAAAAGGAGGAAAGAG